CCATCAACACTCATGGAAGCAGCAGTCAAGAAATCAAATGACATATTGCATTAGGCAAATCTGCTGCACAAGACCTTTTTCAAGTGTTGAAGAGCAAAGATGTCAGCTTGAAGACTAAGGTGTGCCTGATGCAAGCCATGTTATTTTCAATAACCTCATATGCACACGAAAGCTGGACAGTGGATAAGGAAGACTGTAGAAGAACTGATGCTTTTAGTTATGGTGTTGGAAGAGAATATTGAAAGTGTTATGGGTTGCCAAAAGAACCAATAGATCTGTTTTGGAAGAAGTGCAGCTAGAGTGCTCCTTGGAGGCCAGGATGGCCAAACTTCATCTCTCATACTTTGGACATAGTGTCAGGCGGGACCAGTCGTTAGAGAAGGATATCATGTTTGGTAAGATGGAGGGTCAGAGAAAAAGAGGAAGACCCCGACCGCCCAGTGAGATGGATTGGCCAAGTGTCAGCAACAATGGACTCAAGCGTGACAACAATGGTAAGGTTTGCCCAGGATTGGGCAGTGTTTCGTTCTGTTGTGCATAAACTTGCTATGAGTTGGTACCGAGTCAATGGCACCTAACAACAACAACTAGTGTGGTGCTGCAGGATAAACACTGGATTTTGAGGTCAGTTTGAACTGCAAGGTCGGTGGTTCAAACTTACCAGCCACTTCTCAGAAAACCTATTGTTGTTCTTGTAAAGTGCTGTCGAGTCGGTTCTTACTCATAGTGGCCCCATATAGGGATTCCAAGGAGCAGTTGGTGAGTTTGAACCACCAACCTTACAGTTCAAACCGACTTTGCAGTACAGTGCATTAACCCACAGTGCCACACCAGGACTCCTTGCTATGAGTCAGAATGACTCAGTGGCATACAACCAACACTAGAGTTATGGGTGAGTCTGTCTTCCTAAACAGATTTTGGGTCCTTGGAAAACTTACCTGTTTGGTTTTTAATCTATCTCTGATATCTAGTCCAGGATCAGGCACATAGTTGCTGCAGTTAAATGCTATTGAGTCAGTTCTGACTCATAGTAACCATATGTAGGGTTTCCAAGGAGCAGCTGCTGGTAGGTTTAAACTGCTGAACTGTGGTTCATAGTCCATGGCTGATCCAACAGTGTAACACCAGGACATATTGTTCTTGCTAAGTGCCTTTAAGTTGGTTCTGACCCATAGCGACCCTGTATAGGGTTTCTGAGGAGCAGCTGGTGAGCTCAAACCACTGACCTTGCAGTTCAAACGGCTTTACAGTCTGACGCATTAACCCACAATGCCACACCAGGACCTAGTAGGTGCTTAAATTTCTGACTTAAAATCATTTAAACATTTAGAGAATTTTTTTTCCTTCCACACAGCAACTGTATGCTGACTATTGTATGCATTCTATATCCTCATTGTTAGTTACCATTGAGTAGATTCTGACTCAGGGCAACCCCATGCTTGCAGAGAAGAATTGCTCCATAGGGTATTCTAGGCTGCATCTTTTGGAAGCAGAACACTAGGCCTCTCTCCTGAGACACCTCTAGGTGGGTTTGAATTCCCAACTTTTTGCTTTGTCTAACCCCTTAACTTTGTATCACTCAGGGATGTATAATCAAGTGTCAGCCTCAAGTAGCAATGAATCCTGATTCAAGGTACATTACCTGTTTGAGCTGAATTTCTGAATTAACATGAACATCACAGATTTCACAATGAAATGTCTTGTTCTGTAGTCCTGACCCCTTACTGCCATTCTGTATCTTTAATCTTGAGCCAGGCCTAGGATAGGATTTAATTGGGCCAGCCCCATTGCGAGCTTCAACCATTGTCTTGTGTTTAGAGCCTAAGACAGAAAGACACATATATTAAATAGCTATTTAAGAGCTAAGTGATGCTTATTTTTGCCACCCCTTATAAGGAGCTCTGGTAGCGTAGTGGTTACGAATCGGGCTGCGAACCTTAAGGTCAGCGGTTCGAAACTACCAGCCGCTCCGCGGGAGAAAG